GGATAATTTTAGGTGTGAAAATAGCAGCCATTTCACAGGAACTTTAAAATGTGCTACTGTAATGGTTTGTTTTCACAAAAATATTTTATTTGTTCGTTTTAGATTTTTTTCTGATAATTTCTTGTATTGATATCAGAAATGAGGAAATTAAGAACAATACTACCCTACAGTAGCACATTTTAAGCGAATCCAATTATACCAAAATAGTTCCAATTGTGTTCAAATAAAAAAGATAACACAACAAATAAGTCTCAATCAATTAAAAATAATGAATATCAATCCAATCACTAAGTATAAAGTTCTCAACTAGGCCACAAAATAAATTCACTGTGTACATCGCACATATGCGCCTGCCTTCTTGATCCCATTTCTACGGTAATTTCAATCGATGATTTAGCAGTCTTCTATACAGTTAGATTTCCGTAAATACTCTCCAATGAGACACCAAGACTTTATAATTACTAGATACGAACCTATTTTCCGGGATCTTCATTCATTAATTGACAAATGTTGATCTGTTTTATTTCCTCTGCAGTTAAATGGTCATCTTGAATCTGAATGTTCGAGAAAGATGGTAGATTGTCCATTTCAGGATGTTGGATGTAAAACACTAGTAAGTATAGCTTGTACTAAATACTCGTATGTGTTCTGGAAAACATTAATATACATGTTGTACACATTCATCGGAATTCATCGGTTCGTGTGTCGTCCCATTAAGAATGTCAACCAACTGTTCAGTCAGTAGACAGCAGTTTTCACGTTTAATATCATGGGGGTACTGGTTAATTTCAGGCACATTCATTAATGTCAAAATGCTTAAATATTTATTTTCATGAAATACACATATGTTTAATACTTGCTTGTTGTTGACAGGTAAGAAAAGATGACATTAGTAGTCACAATCTAACAACCGTCGGTGAGCATTCTGTATTGCTATTAAATCAAACGAAAGAACTGTCTGATGTGATACAAAATATGGAATGCAAACGTGGCGAGGTATATCGCATAAAAGAACAGGTGGTAGAACATCGAACCAAGTTAAGTGAGCTCCGAACAGAAATACAGAGACTATGCACACACATGTGTCACACTGGGGATCAACCCTCTGTTCTGTCTCAGAAGCAAAACAAACAAGTGCATGACACTGTAGAGCAACAAACAAAAACACTATCTTCTTTTCAGGAGAAATTGAAATCACTTGAAACTAACATTCATACATATGAAGGGGTCATAACTGTGTTGAACAATCAAATAGAACAAGATGCGAGAACTATGCACACCATGCAAACTCAAGCAATACAACACGTAGATCGCATACAGGCATTGGAACGTAAAGTCAGTGCGCAAGACCAACTTTTGAAAGAATTGGCACTAGCAAAACAAGATAATACAATGTCAGAGATGGCATCTCATGATGGTGAGTTGGTTTGGAAAATTACCAATTTTCTCAAAAAACGCAATGATGCTGTATCGCGTAAAACTGTGTCAATTTACTCCCCATGTTTCTACACTAGTCGCCATGGTTACAAAATGTGTGCCCGTATTTACCTCAATGGTGATGGAATGGGAAAAGGCAATCATGTGTCTTTGTTCTTTGTCATCATGAAAGGTCAATTTGATGCTCTTCTGAGATGGCCATTTCGTCAGAAAGTTACCTTAATGTGGTTGGATCAAAACAACAGAGAGCATGTTATTGATGCATTTCGACCTGATCCAACGTCCAGTTCTTTCAAACGACCAGAGCAGGACATGAATGTGGCTAGTGGATGTCCACTATTTATGCCCTTAACGGAACTAAATAGTTCTCGTCACGCATATGTCAAAGATGATGTAGCTTTTATAAAAATCATAGTTGATACAACTGATATAACCTAAATGCAAGCACAATGTCGCGTTCGGCATACGTTTCTTTACTTATAATCAGATGTAATACTGTTGCCATACAATTGAACAGAATATGCAACTATACTATTTGGCAAGAGTAACAATAATTCACTCATTTCCATGGTGTTCCTTGTACTTTAGATCGGTGTCTGTATTTTATTGATTCCCACTATGAATCATAGAGAATGTTAGTTACTATAATTGTTAACAACCCAGTGACAGAATAAATTAAAGCTACAGGCCAAGCAACAGCCATATTTTACACAAGCTCAGTTTTTATGGCTCAGATGGTAATGGATACCAACACTAATATGCACAATTAACGTATTCTTTGTAGACATGTTAAGTGTGCAAAGCAATTGGAAGTTGGAGAATGTTGACCAACGTGGCGACCAAATTTATTCCATAATATTTGTGTGCACATTGATGCTAGTCAGTTATGATATCAATATGATGAATGGGTAGAAAAAGTGAATTGTAAACATTAAATTCCACATGGCTGCAAAGTCACAGAGTTTAAAGAAGTTTAAGACCTTTAAACAAAAAAGCTAAACACATGGCGAAACAAGTCGCATAACCGCTATAGTTCCTATTCTTGAGCTTGGCATTTTAAAACCTAATAAGACTACAACAAAACAATAATAAAGCCTGGGCCTTCAGAAGGCGTTCATAATAGCCACTTACAACTTTACAGTACCATCAAGTGGTAAACTATAGTGACGTGGCAATAAAAACAAACTAATGAATCTTGTTATCAACGTTAAATGGTTATGTTTATGTGTGTTTGTTTCCATATAAATTAATACATTCCTCCACATGCTAAATTATGAGGAACATAAAATATATTTGTGTAGGTCATTGTATTGATCTAGTCAACTTGGAATACATAACACGCTTATTATGTTCATATACAGGATATATTGCATTACTACATTTTTCGATCAACATTTATATGCATTTCATATTATGTACATTTATATTTTCAGTCAAAATACATTTGATATACGGTTATTGTAATGTATAGAAACGATTCAACTTTACTGCTGTTAATTTTAATTACAATTCGGTTAATTCCATATGGTTGCCCCAATTTTAAAGCTAACTATATGTTCCAAATATCAAACCTACCTACAATGTATAGTGTGTTTATAAGGAACGGTATTTAAGGTAGAGATGCAGGTTGGGGGATTATATTTCTAATTGGCTCTGATTGCTGTAATTACACACAAAAAATATACTTTTTACCCATCAAGTTATATATCATTTGAAAGAGTTTTATTTAAACTTTCGAGTTTAATGGTTTACAATAATGTACTATGATACCATATTAAGTGATGTTGATTTTGGGTTAAAATCATGCATTTTAGGTGAAAGTGCACTTAAAACTGTTTAACTTTTGAAAGCATACCCTGATCTTGATTGAACATAATGGTTATTCATTAGTGTTTTCTTTGAAAAGTTTTTACACAGTGCTCTTTGAAACATTCACATTTTATAAATCGTTTATAAATCACAGTTAACAGAGCCACTAATTGGCCGCTCTATTGTCTCTGTTTCAGTGAAGACAGTGAAACCATACGAAGCCATTTACTTAGGATAGACCTGTCAGTGAATAATGACCCCTGAAAATTTCCTAATTGTATAGATGGCTCATTTTTCCAAAACTATGTAATACAGATGAAATAATTCATGTGCATAACTTTAATACATTTGTTGGTACACTATACTTATAGTTGTTCCTAATCGATCAAAGTGATTCTTTTTCAATACATAATCTTCAAATCTGTTTTTTTAGTTGTATATCCATTTGTTGTTAGATGTTTTGTGTTTTGGGGTTTTTTTTGCCTGTGTTTGTTTATTTCAGTTCAAATAGAAAACGCTATTCTATTTTAATATTTGCTTAGTTTTGAGGGATTTGTTCATGCGAAGTTCGTGACTAATGACAGCCAATAATTTCTATTGTTTTCTAGAATATAACATTTTGGTTTTTGACGTAATTACAATTGATCAATTGGCGGTAATGCAATTACAATTTAAAGTTTAGCTGTAGTTCTCGACGGTATGCCTGTGATGGCGACATCTCCCTTTCAACAATAGGATTCGAAGTAAGCAAATCGCATCGAGTCGGCGGTCGGCTCAACGAAAATAATGATAGATCAGAGTGGAATCAACAATGTTTCCCGTTATGTTCCCATGCTTACTTTACATGATAAACTTTGGATGGCCTTTAATGTACACTATAGAACAGTGACATTTCTCATTGTCTGTAATGAAATGTATTAAGTTCTCTGTCTAAATATGAGTCATAATACGGAGTTATTTTCTGATATTTTATTTTTATTTTAAGGCAACGTGCGGGAATTATTTATACACCCAGGTATCAGAAGTTCGCCGCGCGAATCAACCAGTCGTTTGGTCGTCACGTGGACATAATCCACATATTCCTTCGGCGCGAGAGTTCATGAGCAGATCTCGCCCCTTCATGCAAGATTTCGTGCCGCCGCCTCTGCAACCACACCATTATTATTCAAAACTCCTATCACCTTTTCGAAATTTTCACGTCAGTGCTTGAAAGTTTTGAGTGATAGTCAAATTTCCACAGCTCCCACTTTCCCACACTGAAGCACAGTGATTTCCCAGATCCTCATATGCATAGAACTGGCTGGTTACATTGTAGTTTGCTTTTGTGTTTAATCTTTGAAATAGTTTTCTTTAGGATTTTAGGATTGAAATTACGTGAAAAACCGGACTACTGGTTTTCAAATAATATACACTAAAGTTTGCCTTGTTTATTATATGTATTTTGTGTTTCTTGTTAACATTGACATTATATTAATATCGGTTCTGACCATGGACACTGATGTATTCCAGTGTATAACATTACTTAGCTTACACTATAAAATAACACCCTTATCCGTCCACATGAAAGGTTTCTTTGTATTGTACTACTGGTGGTCATGTGTCCTATTGTACTTGCTGTTAGTTTATTTTTGTAAATCTTTTGTTTTATGTAGATTGTTAATTGGTTAAACTGGTATTTATATTCAGAATTTAATTCTAACAGTTTCATTTATATGCTAAGTGTTATGCCACAGATAACTGTACATAATTTTTAAACCAGTATTATCTTAGCTACATAGCTTTAACGTATTTTGTAAGCCGCTATTGTAAATCAGACCTTGTATCTTGGCTAGGACTGAACGACTTTAGTCAAGGTGCAACGTCTGACGTTAACTAGAGTATAAACAATATGTTTATAATTGTATAAACATATTTTTTACTAATTGTATTTAGTATTGACAACTATACAATGTGTTTACCGTGAGACACCCCGTGGTAATCACGTGATCGTGCCAACGACTGCAGCGATTGGCTGATCGCATGTTTACTTTGCCACGCTCTAGAGATTTAGCATAGAGGTTCTAAGATATGTAATAAAAGAAGGAGAGTAGGTTGCTGACGGTTGGATGAATAAAGCTGGGATATCTTTAATGAACTCATGTGTATTCATTTGGTTCGAGTCTGGTATCTCTACGTGTAAGTGTTGTCACCTAATCGAGACGAAGTTCCACGAACACAACGCTAGTGTTCACAACAATATTGTAATAATATTTCGCTATGGATAAACGATCTATTTGTTATTTGATGGATGGGTGAATAGATGTATGGTTAGACAAGCATGTTCTTAACATATCGATTGAATAGACAATTTGAAGTAGCTGAACACAATATTTACCTGTGATTAGTCACAAAACAAGTTAATCAAGCAAGCACTAGTGAAGTCGCTAGATGGTTTAGATGGCCAGGATTTAATTTTAGTGATGAAGTTTCCCAAAAATAAACAATGCCAAATGTTAAACAATACAATCTATACTTGCTTACACTGTACAATCTTTTAAATTATATTAGACTAACCATAATACACTCACTAACAAGAAAAAAATGTAAAGGTAAAATTGTCTTCTATGAAAAAAGTCTCTGCATATGGCGCAATAAACATTTTTGTAATAAACTCGATTGCCGTATAGAATGTTCATATACGACTTGCGGCACTTTGGTTCTATTTCCGTTTCACTGTTATTATTCCGTTCGCAATTTTTGACTATTGAGCATATTTGCAATGAATGATGGTAGGTAACTTTAAAACAATGGATAACTAATTACCTCGCTGGAAACTCACTAAATTAAATTTTTAATTGTTTAAATAGAACTCATACAAAATCATCCATTATAACCGGGCCCAGAAAACATTCTTGTGTGTAGCAATGAAGAATTGGGCTTTTTGCGAATTACCTTACATTGGGCACAACATCTTTGGTGATAACAATATTTTAGTTAGAACATTGTGTCATGGTCATAGTCATGATTTGAAATGTCTCCAGGATGGCATGTAAACATAGATAATAGATAGATAATACTCCCCTACTATATGGTATTGTGTATGCACTCAATTGCTTTGGCATATTTCAAGTCAGTTTTGCACTCGAGAGATGTATTTTGATTATATAATAGCATAGTGTTATAGTTTGATGATAGTTGGCACTGACTTGAAGGGCGCCGCGCCCCGAACTTTTGAACCCCAGTGATGCTGGGTTGGAGTTGGGAGAATAGTCAAAAAAATAATTGTTTTGATATATAGTAAAATGTCTCGACTTTTCGAGGATCAGGGATTTCATTTATGCCAAAATCAGGTAGATTCCGTGATCATTTGTACCGTATTTATCTTGCGTCAAGGCCAAATTATTTGTATCAAGTACATGACCATAGGACTTTTTACATAAATGTTAAGTCAAGGGTGAATTTGCAAAGAAATTTGAGTGTCTTTATTTTCAAATTGTAGTTATTCTTTGAACAATTTACGGAAATCTTCGACTACACTGTGAGTGAGCATTACACTGACTATATAATTACAAGATTAGCAGTGACAACCGCCATCTTTATTCTTATGAATGAAGCTATTAATAGAAGCGAAACAAAAATTGTGTACCGTAGCTCAGAAAATGAACTTTCCTCGGCATATTGATGAGCCGTCGAATTACGACACAATTTACCATTCAATGAACACCACATCATCAATCTAACAGCATCTGACGTCATACACGAGAACAAGGGCGTCCTCAATGTGTAAACATATATCCGTTGTTTTATAATAAACATAGTGCTCTCTTGTGTTTACTTAGATTTTGAAATATGTCTAATTAAAAAATTGGCTATGCCAAAAAGGCAATAGCACCCTCTACGTCGTATATGTAAAATGATTTCATAAGTATCGGCGCCTTCTAGTTTTAAATAAATTGTATAGCCACTATATCTCACAGGAGTAGATATGCTCAACTTTCTATTTTGTAAAGAAGTGGGAAGAATATAATATAGGTAAAAGATTGATCAAATAATATAGTTTACACTATTTGATATTATATTCTGTACTTAATAAAATTATTATCATTTTTCTTTGTAAAAAATATACTGACACAATATTATGTAGTTGAGTCATCTGTCCGTACTTGTGATCTAATATTTCGTACTGTACCCGAATGACCAGAGTCCGATTTTGCATACGAATCGCTTTAAGATTTTCGATCTCAAACTAATGACCTCTGAGAGTTAGCAGACGTGCGTCACTCTATATTGTAATTGCTTATAACAATACGAATGCCTTCTACTTTTTTCGAGCAAAGCCAGTTTTACGTTTATCCACCATTCACTAAACATGTGACTATGATGGACGGATTCTGTGAATTAATGATTAAGTGACCGAACTGACTGTTGCAGTCTCGTACCGAATCGGTTTTCACTACTATTCATCTTTTTGCTTACAACTTTTAAGACAGTTGCTGATTGGCTGATTTGTATTTGTTCTATGTTCCAGTTTGATTGTAATTTATTATTTATTTATTTATTTCAGACAAATGAGTCCATATCAAAAAAATAATAATAATAAATAAATACTAGAATGAACAAGAAATATAAACAGGAAACAATAGTTCGCTAGCTATTACGTAATTGTACATAACGTCTCATAGCATTTCATTCCAACGCTGCAACATGACTGACCTCCGTCTCACGTCACTGTTCCATAAACTAGTCAATATACTGTTGTTGGACGAGCAAGCACGCTCTCTAAATTTATATACAATATTCCTGTAAATTTCATAAAATTATTTGACACGGTTAGTAACAAACATGGATCTGGCACTGTGGTCATATGGATAGTCACGAAGTCTATGAAATAGGTTGTTATAAGAAACCTTCAAAGAATTAAGAGGCGCTCTGTTGAAAAAACACCTATCCACAATTGTAAACAATAACAATTATAACAATACGCATTATAGCTGCACTTAACGAATTTCCTAAGAAGTAGGTTTTCTCTCACACAAAACAAGCAACGTTGGTGGTCAATGTCCGCATTTTCCTTCATGTCACACGTGACCCTATGACCCAGGTACGTGGCCTGCGAGACAAATTATATGTTCTGGCCCATAAGGCTAACCGGAGACAGTATATTCAGTTTAATTTTTGATGAAATATGCATACATTTCGTTTTCAACACGTTATAGAGCATATCATTATCAGTAGCAAACAATTCACAAGTTTTCAGCAGTTTTCGTAGCCCTTTTATAGAGGGCGCTAGTACACACATGTCATCCGCATAACTCATATTATTAATCACTTTGTTGCCAACAAGACAACCACATAGAAGTTGATTTAACTTCACATTTAGGTCATCTATATACACATTGATCAGGGAGGGCGACAAAACACCACCTTGTCTACGTTGAATTAGCAGGAAATAGAACCCCCCCCCCCCCATCTCACGCAGTACATTTAATTTTTATACCAGTTGATAAGAAACTGAATAATGTAACCCGGCACCATGCGTTCTGTGAGCTTATTAAACAAGGTCCAATGATTGACCCTGCAAAGACATCAGATGCATCGAGAAAGCAAACAGATGCATGACTTCCACGGGAATTGTAATGTCTAATAATTTCTTTCAAAGCAAAGATACACTTATGTAATGTTAGTGAATGATTTTCTATCTCCCAACTTCAAATTCCAGTAAGTTTATTTGATTTCAGAGAAGCAAGTTCGGAGGAAATGACAAATGACAACTTCACAACTTCTTCTATTTAGTGTTAATTTTAACTGGTGGGAGCGGCGCTGAATAAAGAAATCACAACGATACAAGTACCGTGGACAGCTTAGTCACAACTATTTTAAGGTTATTACGACTTTATTACTTTACGACGATTTTAAGAGTTTAAAATCGTTACAACAAGTGTTACAATTTAAGAAGACATTTCTTTGATTATTTAAATACGTCGTTATTAGGAGATTAAAGTTTTAATTCGAGTTTCAAGTCGTTATAACAAGTTTAAAAACGTTATAGCAAGTCTAATATGATTTTAAAATACATTGATTGAGTCATTATTACGAGCTTAAAGTTGTTATAACGAGTTTATTGCGATTTGGAAGACGTCAAAGTAAACTTGAATAACGTTGTTAATAAAAGATTAAATTCATTATTTCATATTTGAAGTCGTTATGACGAGTTTAAAGTAAATGAGGCGAGTTTATGATTTTAAAAAAAAACATCGATTTGAAGTGAGTTTAAAGTTTGAGTTTTTTTTATCGTTTTATTGTTTGTAAAGCCGCCGTGGAATACTGTAAAACTACATATGTCTTATCTTAAGATATTTATAGTTACGTAACTCTACTCTGTTCCGTACTCTATAATTATTCAGATTTTCAGACTCATAATTGACTCACAAATATATATGCCTGGTATTCTCCATATCAATATAAACACACCGTGACGTGTTTGCTCTTTTGATAGCATAAGTTAATTATTAATTAATTAATTGGTGCATGTTAATAATTAGTTTGTCCTCGTTATGCATACAAAACAAACATCCTAACGCGTTGAACAGATCGTCTGAATAGTATGTATAGACACTCCTAAATGAACCACACGGCGTCAACGGGTCGATTTGACTATTTCTTGTTATGGGGATTATTTTACTAATATTAAATAGCAAAAACTGTTTGGGTTGAAGTATCTGTTTCACTTTTTTTCTGTAAGCATTTGTTCAAGCAAGGATAACTATATGTATACCTATATGAGTATTTCCACTGAAACGTAAGAGTGTGAGGGGGCTTTGTCACCGCCATTCCACCCATAGTACAATCGACTTTACTGTTTAAAGAAGGGTACTCGTCCCAAAGGTTAATTTATAGCAATCGTTGAGAGACACGAGCTGACTTGTTTCGTGGCGTGACACGGTGACATGCGCCCCATCAATATAACTCGTTGTCGGTGGGTGACGGTTTAAATCTCTAGGTAGGATGCACGACTAATATTTAACTTGTTGTCGGTAGGTAACGGTTTAAATCTCTACCTAGGATGGACAAATAATATTGAATTGTTTATAACACCGATGAATGTATCCTAGAGTAAACTAAGACGACAATTCACATTCCAAGATTCATTCCATTGCTGACGGGGCTTTGATGTGATTTTAATATCTGTGTATATGTATAAAGGGTGGTATAAACAATGTAATATATGTGGTATGTCGGCTACACATGCATTTCCTTTTGTTGTTCATAAATTTTATAATTTGAATCAGTCGCGCCACAATAATGACTACATTAAGAATTTTAGGAATTGGAAAAACGTAGACAATCATTAGTACTATAGCTAAGCATATGCGACAGTGTAATTCAACTTTGCTACTAGCGTAGCTTCAAATGTGAGAATAACGATGAAGTTGTCTTAAGTTATGTGACACGTCGCAATTGTACTGCCAACAGTCTGGTTGTTAACAATTTAGAGTTGAAGATAAAATGTTATTTTATAAAAGTGGGTCGAAAATCTCAAGTAGCATCACGCAAAACACATAACAAAATACAGCTGGCCCAATCAATGAATAAGTTCCGACGTACTATAACGATTTGAAGGGGCAGGCCAAATATGGAATGGCGATTCTGACTGAAATGTGTGTGACTTGTTGAACTTTAAATTACATTTAAATTCAAAGGAAGAAACAAAGGAAAACGGTGTTATTTATGAAAGGACAAGATATGTCAGAGTACTGGATGTAAACATGAGCCACGTGATTAAGAATGGCCAGTCCCCTGGCTCGTACCAGGTGTAACTGTATACAACCTTTACCATTGGCGTACGGAATTTACCGACTTTACCGACTGTCCATGTGTATGTGTTGTGAAGTGTACTGGTAATCATATCGCCGGTGTGCGACAGAGAACTAGCCTCAATATGCCTCGCAACGTACTTAGATTTACTATTGTTGTTTTAATATTGTCTGCCCAGTGGCAGTCGACACCTACGGGTATTTGTAGCGCAGAACAGGACCTCAGCCCGTGGGTCTGGCCGTTCACACACGAACAGAAACGTGCAATCGTTGAAACTCACAACATGCTGCGACGAGAGGTGATACCGGAGGCATCCAATATGCGCAAAATGGTGAGTATAAAATAACAAACGAAAAATAAATCATGTGACATAGGCATAATAATATTATTATTGTACAGTCAGACAAATCACTTACGATAGTGACCTCTGACTTCTCTAGCACCATATAATGACATTACGCGGGTGTTGAAATGTATAGTCTTCGCTGGGCGCACACTCACTAATCCTCTTTCCGTTATTGCATTAGTCGTTATATATAATAGATGGTTTAATGACGGCGGTGTACGGTCTGGCTATATAGAAGAATATATTGCCATTTGTGCCTTTAGGTATTGATATACCAGACATTGTTATCATGCATTTTAACATGTGTTCAATCCCTGTCTGTACATGTTATGTCATAAAGAGAGCCATGTCGGCATTATCATATCATATTTCTCGTGAATAGAACAAGAAAACTCGACACATGGTTGGTTTGGTTATGACAGTACTCGTACTATATCTGATAAATGTTTTTTCTTGTTTAAAGCGGGAGGGTCGTCACCTGCGCATGCGCGGGAATTGAGTCCCAAGTGATGATAACAACACACGCTGAGAACACAAAGGCTCATGGGTAGACGCTTGTTTGTAAACATTGAGACGCTATGGCCATCTGACGCATGCGTAGGTGACGACTCCCCCGCTTTAATTGTAAGCCCGATTAATAGCCTAACGATATATTAATTAGTGAGTTACAACTATATTTCAGGTAACACCGGCAACACTAGTCGACCACGTTACCACGTTGTTCTGTGAACTGCTTTTAAAGTTCACAAATAATCGCTAGCATAACATAAAATTGTATTATCTACACTTGTATGATTTGTAGTTATGTTTTGAAATGTTTTCTTTTTTATTCAATGGCTAATCAGTGTATCCAATATGTTATTTAAATATATGAGTGTGGTTGTTGTAGGTTTGGGATGACGATCTAGCACAGTTAGCCCAGGACTGGTCAGAAGAATGTATCTTCGCGCATACACCTGATAAAGAGTATGGTCAGAATCT